TACCAAACCCCTCATTACAGTAACTTAAACAGTAGGCGAATAAACTGTTATTCTTGACTTCTTTCTATGGTTTCAGTCATAATGGCCCTCCAAGGGAAACTGGCCCTCGACAAAAATGAGTTTGACACCCCTGCCTTAAAGAATACGGGCTATAAGATAGTAACGGTTATACAAGAGCACCTTCTTGCTGGAGCAATATATGGTGATTTACATGATCCGATTAGTCATCTTATTACAGCTACTATCGGTAACTGGCCAACTCGCAAAATAATTGTTTGCGGCAGTCCGAGTTGAGAATTGTTATTGAATAGCCTACACACAGAATGAATTAGGGTTCAACATGAAGCTATATTATTAATGTGATCTGCATCAAACTTTTCAGGGAATGCAGAAATGAAAACCTGAATTAGAGGGTGTATGTGTGTGCCTGCGAGCGGGTGTATTTGTGTGGTTAAAGTCTGCAGAATGTTACCTCTAATTTTGCATGTGCCTCAGCATTCACACAAATGCCCTGAGCATCCTTTGGACAACGATGAGCAACATCAGACATGCAGACGGTGGTCAAACCAGAATTACACTTGTCTAAAACCGAAGAACAAAATAAGTTCCACGATGCAGGTATGTCACGAAAAAAATCGATTAAATATTATTGAAGAGAGTTTTATGACACAAATAAAATCAGCCCACTGGTAATTGTAAGCAGAAGTAATTATTTTAATGAAGTCTCCATACAATCTGGGTAAGTATGGTCCCACATTGTCCACTCATAAATAGTGGAAAACGTCATGGAATTAAGCACAACAAATGTATACTTATCTGACCTCTGAAACGTGGGAAAGAGCCTCATTTTAGGGGCTCATAAGCTACACCAGGGGTAGGGAAGTCTGGTTCCTTGAGAGCCATATCCGGCCTGTTTTAGGTCGCTCCCCACTCCAACACACCTTCCTTAGTTCCCTACCCCTGAGCTACAACCATCTTTGGAATTGTGTGTCAATCTATGCTTCAAAATTCCAAAGATGGTTGTAGCTCAGGGGTAGGGAACTCGGGTTCCTTGAGAGCCATATCCGGCCTGTTTTAGGTCGCTCCCCACTCCACACCTTCCTCAGTTCCCTACCCCTGACCTACAACCATGTTTGGAATTGTGTGTCAATCTATGCTTCAAAATTAACTATTGTAGAACTGAGTGTCCACACTTGGTCACGCTACCGAAACTGTAAAGGAAGTGGGAATGGTGTGGTGTCCTGTTTGTAGATTAAACTGGGGTGGAAAGGAAGGAATGAGTGTAGAAATGTAATGTGTGTGTGTATGGTGTGTGCCAGCCTGATCATGTGCACTGAGAGGGTGGGAGAAGAACACAATTGCTCACACACACACACCTTAGAGGAAACATTGTGTATGCATAGGTGGAGTTAACTTATAACTGAAAACCTCTGCCCTCCCAACTGAACCTACTGCCACCCCCCTGTCACACACCAAGTAAAACTGTCAAGAACCGGCAGCGGGTATTAGAATTAAGAATTACGAATATATATGAGCATCACAATTTTATTTCAAAAAAAGTTTTTATTTGGATTGGTTTGTACTGTAGGCTCGTGTTGTTTTGTGCATACAGCAGGCAGTGTGATTTACAGTCAATGCATTTTTCAATCCTCAACAATTACAATTAGCTCCCATAATAATCTGGGTGTTACTGAACAAAACTATGACAAAATATTTTCTTGCAAAATAACTCAAAACACAGTGTTCCAAATGAATATGCACAATCAATTAAAAAAAGAAGAAAGAAAAAGCTACAAAAACAGCCAATCAGGTCATTGTTGTTAAGCATGTTCCCTCATTTGCAACTTCCCTCAAAAACAACAAAATGGCCAGATTCTTGGTTGTCAATGAAAGATTAATCTGAGTGACTAAACTATAGTGCGGGGTGCCTAAAAATGGGTTAGTTCCAACAATCATCAATGTCAAACCTGTTAAATATTTACAAAAAAAACCCTGTGAAATATTTACATGCGTAATTTCTTCTCGAACTCCAAAATGGGCTGAATTCTCTATTTGTGATTGGAAACTGAAAGATAGCCAATTACGAAACAAAGAAAGAAAAGAAAGAAAAAGCTACAAAAACAGCCCATCAGGTCATTGTTGAGCATCTTCCCTCATTTGCAACTTCCCTCAAAAACAACAAAATGGCCAGATTCTTGGTTGTCAATGAAAGATTAATCTGAGTGACTAAACTATAGTGCGGGGTGCCTAAAAATGGGTTAGTTCCAACAATCATCAATGTCAAACCTGTTAAATATTTACAAAAAAAACCCTGTGAAATATTTACATGCGTAATTTCTTCTCGAACTCCAAAATGGGCTGAATTCTCTATTTGTGATTGGAAACTGAAAGATAGCCAATTACGAAACAGCCTGAAGCACAAATAGAGGCGCAACTGTCTGCATTCAGTGTTTGCATAACGTATCTCACAAGTCATTCACCACAATGGAGAAGACCAGATAAGCTAACAGTTGAGCTAACCTCTTCCAATTCTTCTAATTTTTTCTGCTTCTTTGGTACTTTCTAGTGGCCTTGAAGCACTGTGGCACTTTGGTCCCTTTCACAGGTGCTGCAGCCAATGTTATTGCGTGTGTGCATTGTGCTGTGTTTATTAGCTTAAATACAGCACACACTCTAAGACAGGGGTCTCAAACTTAGTTCCTGGAGGGCCGCTGTCCTGCATGTTTTCCAAATCTCCCTGTTGCAACACAGCTGACTCAAATGATCAGATCATCAGCAAGCTCTGCGGAAGCCTGACATTGAACCTGTTCATTTGAATCAGGTGTGTTGCAACAGGGAGACTTAGAAAACATGCAGGACAGCGGCCCTCCAGGAACTAAGTTTGACACCCCTGCTCTAAGAGCAGTAAGCAGACACGTAAGGATTTTGTTTTATTCATCATCCGTGGGGGTCTCTCACAATTTAAAAATGAATGATTTTAAAAATCATCGTGTGTAGCCCACTTCAGGAACCTGTTGTATGTTTTTTTGCATATCATGGAGTCTATTTAAAAAAATATCAAATGCCATTGGTGCTCATTTGAGAATGCAAAAATTAGCTCCCAGAGTTGCTGGTTGCAGGGATACTGCTAACCACCCTCACCTTCTTGTCTCGGGAACCACGTGGCTTTTCGGTCACTCTTCATCTCAATCGTGAATCATTAGAAAAAGAACAAAGGTGCATGAGATTATTGAGACAAAATGAACACAATATAATTCACAGATATTGTTATGGACATACTATAACTACTTTGGTCCAGTGATTGATGATATGGAGTATGATCATGATCATTCGAAGTACTCCGTAATTTGGAACTTAGCTCTTTAACCATGCTCCGGACATCCAGTGTTCACCTGATAATTGTCATTTACAAACCAACACAAGACTTACTTCAGGAGTTTAACAAGGAAGTGACTGGCAATGATTCCAGCCGCATATATGATGACCATGACAAGTAAAACCAAGCCACGCCGCAAAAACAGCTGTGTTACTGAGAGAACATTGCCCACGACGGTGGTTGCGGTTTCATGCTGCTCAGGAATGGGTTGGCCTGGCTCGCGGTCTTGCATCTCCACCATGAATTCAACAGGGACCCGGACCCCTGCTCTATGTTGAGCCTGATCAGAGATGTTCAAATATGTCACAATGGAAATCACTTGAATTGCATGTCATATTTGTGTTTTCAGCGAACTGAGTGACACACCTCTTCGGTAGCCTTTCTCCAATCAAGATTGTACAAATATGCGATAAAGAAAATAGCCTGCAGTACCACACAGATGGTAAGACCAATCCAAAGTCCTGTTCAAGAAACAACAGAAGCCAACAGACTCAAAAGTGTCTCATTCTGATGATTGCAGAACGTATGAGTCCACGATAATGTTATTTTCTTACCTACGACGCCCAATGGTGTTTTAAACAATAAAGACACACCGATGGGAAAGCCAATGAAGTAGTGTCCAATCAGGTTCGACAGAGCACCGACCTTTTGTTTTCCAAGTCCTCGAAAGACACCTCCACTCACACCCTGGGTGATAATTGCAGGGTTGATGTGAACATTGATCATTCTATCATTAAAATGTCTGATGTGATTATTTGTCTCACCGCAATAGCATCAGCAAGATGCATCAAGACAAAAATAACCATGACATCAGCAGTCCTGTTCAAAATGTCTCTGAAGAGAAAAGATAAAGTCCGGAAAAAAAACAAAAAAGAAAAACTGATACAACGCAATGTTAATTTTCAGTTTAATTCATCAATGGATCCTCTCTGCGGAACATTGAGAGCTTGTTTGCTCTTCCAAGAAGTGGATGGATGATTGTACAGACAAACGTATACATGTCCATTCATCCATTTTCTCATCCACTTAACTTCACGAGGGTCGTGGGCATGTCGTGCTTAAGTCTATCACAGCTACCTTGGGGCAGTAGGCGGGGGACACCCGAAACCGGTTGCCAGCGAATCCATGCTCACACTCACACCTAGGGACAATTTAGAGTGTTCCATTCACTTGTCATGCTTGTTTTTGGAATGTAGCAGGAAACCGTAGTACCCGGAGAAAACCCACGGGGAAAGCATTGAAACCCCACACAGGAATCCTGCACCTCTGCACTGTAGGTGGATGTGCTAACCAGTCAACTACCTTGTCGCACACTTATACATATATGTTATATATTTTTGTAGCGATGGTGAAGCCACACACTCCCCATCATGCATTGTAGCGCCCTTTATGAATAATTGTAGAGAACCAATTCAGCTCTCCCTTGTTGCTCTTTGTTTGTTGCTTGGGTATCGGTGTGGCCGTGATGTCTACAGATGTTAGCGCAAAGGAAAAAAGGAATATTGCAGACAAAAAGCCAAGATAGACAGGATGGCTTTTAGGATGGTGAAAGTCAGGCAGTCAGTGTGTGAAATGATTTGTGGCTGAGAGCAGCTGTCGAATTAATGTGCAATCAATTAAGTGACTGAAAAGCATCAGTAACCGCGCCATCGTCAAACCGCAGACAAGGGCATTGCAATATCAACTAAAGGTGTGGTAACTCACGGGTCTGTGGTGAAAATGTAGCCAATAACATTCCTGGACAGTGTGATGCTAACTCCAATACAAGTGGCCACGACAGCTGCAAAGGGAAACAGACACAGCAAATGTAAACTGCATAGAAAGGTAACCCATCATGTTACATGAAAGATTGTGCATCTCTCCCCCGCACTCCCCACCGCCTCCCAACCATGCAAAACAACTTCAACATGCTAACATATTTCTGGCATGCTTTTGTCCTCCCGACCACCACCACTAATTTACAGCTGCCACTTTCTATTCACCACAGTTACCCATAGATAGTAAAGTCCCTTACATGTACAGATGATCGAAACTTTGCAAGACAGCTTGGCTTGCTCACTGTTTCCTGCCCCAAGAGCATTGCCGACTCGAACACTTGCCGCAGCAGCCATTCCAATGGGGAACTGAAAAGATAAAATGGAGACAAACACTTCTGAGCCATTTAGAATTCCGTAGATCAGGGTGGCCAACACAAGGCTCATAAGATGCACGCGACTTCATTGGCTGACCCAATGTGGTTTGTCATCTGTCAGTCGGTCAATTCGTTTTTCTTTTTATCTATCCATCCATTTTCTGATCCGCTTTACCGCACAAGGGTCGCGGGGCATGCCGGAGCCTATCCCAGCTGTCTTTGGGCAGTCGGCGGGGGACACCCTGAACCGGTTGCCAGCCAATCGCAGGGCACAACCATCCGCGCTCACACTCACACCTACAGACAATTTGGAGTGTTCAATCAGCCTGCCACGCATGTTTTTGGAATGTGGGAGGAAACCGGAGTACCCGGAGAAAATCCACACTGGCCCGGGGAGAACATGCAAACTCCACACAGGGAGCCCGGAGCTGGAATTGACCCTCTGCACTGTGAGGTTGACGTGCTAACCACTCGACCACCGGGCCACCGTCTTTCTTTTTATTTATTCATTTATTTATTTTTGCGAAGGTTGGTTTCATGGGTGCAGCCATCTTGGAAAAAGGAGTTGGCAGAATGTCGTGCTGATGAATCAAGAAAAGTGCTTTCTGTGCATGTTCTCGCTTCTTTTCTGCATTTGAGGCGATGTAAACTACGTGAGCCTGCTCTGTTCTCTTGGCTTGGTTCTCAGTGGCTCAAATAAGGTGCGTATTCCATTTTGGAAGATAATTGCCGACAGGGTGTGGTCTAGTGCTGGGGTTTGCTGGTGGCTGGAAACTCAAGTATGATAGAATAGTATGTTTTGTAGAAGGATGTTGAGTCTCTGTTTAGTTCAAAGCATCATTTCACTCCCTCTCTCACTCACGTTAGTAGTGAAAACAACAAATGTTGTCAGGAGTAAGATGAGAAATAACTCACAATCGTACTTTGTAATAAATACACAAATCAGCAAATTCATTTGGTACATGCGCAAAATCTTTCAAACATCCAATTGTTACAAAGACGGTGACATTAAGGTTTGTGTAACAATGTCAGACTTCTGATGCTCATCGAGTTGGCCACCCATGAGATACATAATTTCTGTTTGCGTTACCATGAAAGCCACAATGGTCAGCTGATACATCACAGATTGGGCTCCCAGCTCAACTTCACTAATGATGCCAGCAAGGCATCCTCCTACTTCAAAAGCCCACCACTCCATACAAAACATGAGCATGCTCGGCATGGCCAGCTTGAAAAAGGGTCCCCACTCTTGTAGACAGTCGGGTGACCAGCCTGTGTGTCAAAAATTAAAAACATGCATGTAGTAAACACTGCTGAAGTTGAGCATGTCTTCAAATGAATAAGCATCGACAATAATAGTCACTGAATAGGTCTACAAAAAGAATCTTTGGTAAACATTATTAAGTCTGTCAAATAATGTGCAGTATAAACCAAGTCCAAGTCATCACCTCTAATACAACATGTTGTATTTTATCAGGGATTATTATAACATATAAATTATAAACATGTTTACATAAACATGTTTACTCTCCGACAGTGGGCACCGCATACTCATGCTTCCGCACCCGGAAATTCACCTCGTCTCAGATTGTTTTCCAATCTTTTTGTGTGTGTGTGTGTGTGTGTGTGTGTGTGTGTGTGTGTGTGTGTGTGTTCTTTTTTGGGGGCTTCCAATCCCTGTTTTTTTGTATTTTGGGGATTTATCAGTGTTTTGTTTTGTTTGTAGTTCACAATTCCCCCACCACTCCATGAGCCGTCACCTTATTGTGGTGGAAGGGTTTGTGTGTCCAAGTGATCCTACGAGCTAAATTGTCTGCAGTAAAAAATGGATTGGTGGATGGACAATTCCCCCCAAGCCCCGATATTCCCAGTGCATTTCAATGGCCACCAGTTATGCACAAATGTTCGTGATTTTCTGCCGGCGTGAATTTCGCCCATATAAGAAGTGCGTGCGCGGTTCTATGTGGCTCCCAGTGGCGCTGATAAAAAAATGGTGGCCATCGCCACCCTTTAAGAGGCTCAACCCTATATATACCTGTAGTTACTGATCCTAATCAATTTAGAAAGTGGACTTTCACAATGAACAACTGCAGCAATAACTATGAATGTGAACGAATATTGCAACGAGAATGGAACATGACTTAAAAATAAACACTTATCCATTCATCAACACATTTTGAGTTTAGTGAGAATGCAACTGACCTCCCCACGTGGAATTGTGCAATCCCTTCCAGAAAATATAGGAAAATAAGATGATGGACAAAACACACTGCGAGAATGCATTAGCTGCAGCAGACCCACTTGAACAAACACAAACAAAGAATGTGTTAAACACAGCAAAAATAAATAAATAAAAAAACAAGAGAGTCGTTTGTTTGATGTAAAATTTTCTCTTCCCGACAGGTGGTCTGAAACTACAAATGTTGACTGTTTTTTTAATAATACAGCAGTATTCAGATAGCTATGGAAAGAAAGGGTGTGAAGTCTGCACAAAGTACAGTCATCACAAATTTTTCGGAAGTGAAGGGGGCAGATCAGTTTAATCTTGGGATCCATCACTGACAGCAACATTACCAAAATGACTTCAAAATCAAATTAGGCAAGTAAAGAGTACATTGCATTGTGGGAAATATTACGATTGCCGAAAGAATCAGAAAACACATTTGCATTTTAAGAGGATGAATTGAATTTTAACAGACTAGCAAGTTCATCTTCACTGTGCTGGCAAAACAAACAGGGTCTTTGTTTTTCAAAATAAAAGAAGAAATTCAATTAAAATGGGAAACTTACACAACTCCCAAATGCAGAAGATGGAGGAAGACATAATTGAAAACTGCATTTAAGATGTTTGCAATTGCACCGGTTATGACCTGAGGCCAAATTATTCCCTGGGAAAAAAAAAAAACACACTCTTATTAATCAGCGTATTTATATGTATGCTATTAACTTTCATATCAGTGATGTTTGCTACAGGGCACCTGGTTCTGAAGATATCTTCCCAGCAGCTGGTACATAAATGCCACCTGAAGGGGGAAATAGATTCAGACAATAGATGTAAACCAGGGCTGTCAAATTTATTAGGGTTTCCTTCGTTCCTTTGTTAGGGTTTCCTTCGGGGCCGTTTTAACATGTCAACCCAAATTGTCTCATATTTCATAAACACAGCAAATTGTTAATGATAGTTTTGTTATCGGAGGCCATTTTTGTTCAAATATTATTCCATTTATTTTTAAAGAGGGATTACGAACAAAAATGCTTGCAATATCTAAATGCTTTTAAAAGTGAAGACAATTTGCAATTTTGGTATTTTAGCATGAAGCAAAATTGCTTTGGTGGGCCACATAAAATGATCTGGCGGTCGGGATCTGGGCCCCGGGCCTTGAGTTTGACACCTGTGATGTAAACATATTGATTATACGAATAACTCATGGACAATGAGACACATGTGAACTCACCGGTAGAGCAGGCATGAAGATCGTCACATAAAGTTGTGCCAGACTATGAAGCACAAAAAAATAGCCATGAGAAAATGTGCTATGGAATCATGTACACATTACAATACATGCATTGCATCAAATGCATTATTAAATGAAATTAACGGGTAGGGTTGTAACGCTACTGCAAGGTATCTCGCTTTCAAATTTCTCATCAATGCTGTTAATATGCGATGGAAAGCTATCAAACGTCGACAGAAAAATTGTATTGAATGTCCGGACGTCTGACAAGTAAAACACTGCCCTCTGCAGTCAACTTTGGCTCAGGCGCCTTGGCCTTCTAAAAAGGGACGTTATTGTGGCAGTATTGCATGCAGGGAGATACACGCTCACATTAAGATGAAAATGGTGGAAGAAGACAGTCACGAAGTTTATTAATATTATATTTATTAGTATTTTTTTCACAGAGTATGAAAAATATATGCCTGTGAGAATATTACTTGTCTGCAGAGGTGGTCATTCCGTCAAACTGATGGAAGGTCCGTCACTGTTTCTGTCATTATTTAAGGCCGACCTACATGGCCTCTGACCAACCCTCATCACCGACAGCCAATCAGCATCGAGATTGTGATTTTCATGTCACACACAGTCGCAGCACAAGTCAAAATGCAGCCAAATAAAGAAAAAAAAAATAGATGAAACAAAAACAATAGACAAACACGCACAGCGTGGTGATTGGTGAAATTAAAACAATATGGGGCATGTCACTGAGGTCTGTAAGTTTGAAAGGTATACAGCACTTTTTTTTTCTGTATTTGGCTGCATGTCAGGACTGCACAGGTGGCAGCAAGTGGCAAAATGGCCGCCTCCTGCAATGGATAAAAACGGGAGGATTTTGCTGCTTACTTCATATTCCACAAAAAAACATTATTAATCATAATACTGCAGTCAGAGGAGTGGAGCCACATAGAACGTTGTTGTTAATAAATAAATAAATAAAACAAAAGAAAAAAACTAAAGGGTGGGTGGCTGAGTTGACTGACCCCCCTCAATGTTTCTGAACTGTTCTTTGCACTTGACCAGCACCTGCTGGTTGTAAAGTAAAATTGGAACATTTGAGCATTGTGTATTTTGTCTTCAATTTGAGTGAGTATGTTTACAAATTAACATCTTTATCCATAATTGAATTAGGAAAAAAAAAAGCTACAATTAAATGAAATTCATATTTCTAGCACTTAATTTTCTTTTCCTTTTTTTTTTTTACAATACCGCATACCATGGCCTTAACATTTGGAAGATATTGTACCATGAGATTTTGGTAACGTTCCATCCCTAATTGACAATAATGCAGTGGAATATTTAAATTCCCACAAACATCAGATCGGACAGTTTTGAACTCAACCAACATAGCGGGGATTGTTATAATGGCAGGTACAGACATCTAATGCGGCGGTCCTATTCTGCTGTGGTAACACGTGTTTGGTCACCAGTTGTGACCCCTCTGGATGCACATCAAATTCTCAGAAATGACATTGCTTGGCTGAACATGTGGTTCGCATGTCTGCCTTACGGCTGGATGTTTGGGGTTCCCAGATCAGACCTCTGTCTGGGATCTGTCACATGTGTAGTCTGGTTTCCTCCCACAGACCATAAATTTGCATGTGAGGTTAAATGGAGGTTTCAAATTACCTATGGGTGTAAATTTGGTTATTTCTCTATACTGTATGTATTTTTTGCCCAAAGTAGGCTGGGATAGGCTCCAGCTCACTGCGGCAGTGGTGCTGTGTTGTTTGGAATATTACCTGCTCTTTTTAGGCCTTTTATTGTGGCCAGTCTAGGAGACACCACATCACAAGAGTAACCACGCTCTTTAGTTCGGCATCTTGATCACTTACGTGCCTGGTGAATGGATTGCCTTCTTTGTGTATGTTTTATGATATTGATTAAATATATAAGGTCTAGCCTTCTTCTGAACAAAAAAATACCCGGTCTGCTGCAGGTGGTCTGAGGGTTATAGAGTGACTTACTGGGCAACTTCTGGGCTCTGTTTAACAGCAAGTAAAAAACATTCAGTGTTTACGAGAACAGCCCAGCAGGGGAAACAAGCCAGCAGTAGAATCAGAACCCCCCTCTGAAGAATCGCCCCCACACGCTTCAGGTTTCCACTTCCAAATGTCTACAGAAAGGCAGAATCAAATAAGCAGTGTTAGGAAAGACCCAAATCACACAAATTACAGTTTTGATAGATGAAAGAAAACTTGATCCACGAGTTCATTGTTCAACTATCGGTTAAGTGCACCCCAGAAATCTTCAGGGGACAGTCAAAAAGGTTTTATATCAATCACCGGAAACAATAAATGAATAAAGTGCAACCTTTTAATAAGGCCACTACCTGAGATATGAGGGTATCACAAGTCATTGACAAGCCAGTTCCAATGGCAATACCAGTCACATTAATCACCTGCAATTAAAGAAGCATTGTCAATGGAATGCATAGACTGAATACGATGCTGGGATGCTGCCTTGGTATTCCTTTTCACAACAGTCATTTTGACATTATTGACATTTTGACAATGGAAAATTTAGCCCACAGAGATGTGAGGATCTCATTCACTCCCAATGTCTGTCTAAAGCAAACTAGCTTATGATGTGGTGACGTAGTGATTTTCTGTCATCGACGTGGCATCTCATGGAAAAAGAATGTAAAGCAATGCTTCTTAACCTGAGGTTCGATTGAACCACCGGGTGTTCACTGAGTCAGAGGTGCCAAAGTCAGTCCTCAAGGGCCACTGTTTTTTCAGCTCTCCCAGGAGCAACACATTTGATTCAAATAATCAGGATCGTTCTAATGCTGCTTTAGAGCTGGCTGATGAGCTGATCATTTGAATCAGGCGTGTTGCAGCCGCGAGAGATGAAAAATAGGCAGGACAGTGGCCCTCCATGCCCGGACATGCCTCGCCCAAAAGGTTCAGTGGCGGTCAGGACACACACACACTGAATCATATGATTCGTGACAACTAGTCGCATCAACATTGTTCTCGTCTCTCTCTTGCTATCTTTACAAGCAGTCCTTCCCGAGGATGGAAGACAGAAAAACAAAGAAAAGGAACAGACTTTGTTACAAAAATGACATGAAGAGTGGCACTTGCCCACGGAAAGCCAAGCATTCGTTTCTGTAAAAATTCAGCCAAAGTTACATGGATTTGCAGTATTTGTTGGTTTTGACTTTTGAACAATATGACTGTATCTATTTGTTCTAGTCAGAATCTCTCAGCTGAGTTATGAACAAGCTGAAGACTTCTCCTGGCATAGTTAGGAAGGCCAGAGAAAAGAACATTACAATAATCCAGTCTCGAAGACACAAGAGTATTCAGAACAATCTGCGCATTTCTAAACGCTAAAGCAGGATGGATGATGGCTATATTACGCAGATGAAAAAGTGTTGTTTTACTGATTTCCCAAATATGAGGCTGAAAAATCAGAGTTTTTATGATATATGAGTGCTATCAGAAATCCTGCATTCATCATTATTAAGTCATGTGACAGGTGTTTTTAATTTGAAGTCTTAATCACTGGCAAGTCTGTTTTTGCAGAAATTAACATGAGAACATTCTGACACATACGACTTTTAATGTGGCATACTGTCTCTAGATTCTGGATTTGACAGGAGTCATTTGGCCGCAGAAGCATGCAAAACTGATCAGAAAATAATCTTACCCAAAGGCAGCATGTAAATAAAAAAACAAAATGGGGCAGAGGATAGATAGATCCTAGTGGCACGCCTAATATGACTGAAGAATATTTAGACAAATGATTATTAAAACCAACATGCTAGGTTCTGTTAGACAGGTCTGCCCGTGAATAGGATCACTTAGTCCTAGGGGCAAGCCATCAAATTTAGGCTCAACTCATTTTTCAACATTAACAAAAAGATCAGCATGAATATTTAAACTTTTCATCCATTTTAACAAATAGAATAGCCAACAAATCAAAAGGTTCACACGCGATACTTTAGATCAAGCAATAGTGCATTTTTTTCAATCACTTCTATATTTAAGAAATATATTTTAATAGTGTTGCACTGATATAACCAGCAACAAGACTTCACCCAATTAGCACAAGTAGTGCACCCTCTCTAGTGCCGCAAGGCACCATCCAATGCACCCGTTCTACAGCTAGACCGAGACGCCCCGCGTTGGTATCCCCTCCTTGCCCGCCCATTCACACATAAAACGCAAATTAGTGTGTTCAATTAGCTCAGTAGTTCTTAACCTTGCAAACGGTACTGAACCCAACAGGTTGTAGTCAAATGTGTTCTTTTTTTTCTTCAAACAGGAAGCTCCATTTTAGATCATTGCGCAAAATGCACCTGGCACACAGTCACTGTACTCAAAGAACAAAATGTGAACTCCACATTAAAAAAAAAAAAAAACATTTAAAAAAAATGAACATTTACTGGAAACCATTGTAACTTTTGCGGGAAGTTCAGGAATGCTCAGCTTCACCCTGGGAATTGCCACCTTTGTTGCAAAGTCTGTTCGTTTGCTTGTTCTTTTTGCTACTGGTATCGAAAAGGAATGCTCGGAAAGAAACAGTGTCACATACAGTATCTGTATCTCAAAGGCTTTTTCCCCTTTGGATGCACCAAAAGGCTGAAGAGGTTGTTTACTGAAAAGTTGTCACCAATCATTCATGTTGGATGAAAAAAACAGGCACAGTGTGTGTCTTGACCTCCGCTGAACCCTTGACACTGTCTCGCTGAATATCTGGGGTTCAATCAGCAACTCAGAGCAACTGAATGAACCTAACATGTATGTTTTTAGAATGGAGGAAGGAACAACATGGAGACTCCCCACCTACAGTGAGTGAGATGGGAAATTCCACCAGGATGTGCTGCTATGAAATGTCACGATTGAGTCCAACTTTTCTTTTCCTACGGAACCGAAAGTTTGTCTGATAATTTAGGAATTGATTTCATTTGGCTCCCATTGTTGTGTACATATTATCTTCACACACTCACACACACCCCCCACACCCCCAACACACATCTTTTTAGCGCTTGTGTTTTAATTTCTTTTTCTTACATTTCCTCTCATCATGAGTTGCGCGTTTTTCTGCAATGATATTGACAAACTTGCATACAATTACCACTGGCGGACAAATAGCAACATTTGTTTGTTCAATTAACATTTGGTCTCTGACTCTCATTCTAAACTTATTTTGTAAATATGAAATATTCCGGGGCTCATAAATATGGAGCATTTCTGTCTTTTAGCGGCAAACGAATGTTAGGAATGAAGTCATTTCAACTCTGAAATTGGGAGACATAATGAAATCTGTACACAGGGTCAAAAGTGATAACTGATGTGTTTAAAAAAGGAGGGGGAGGGGGCAGACACGACAATTATTCTTTCTTTGTGGTTAATGGTCAATTTACCCAATGTTGCCAGTTTTAAGCAAACCAGTTCACAGTTTGAAAATGCCAGCAAACATTTCTAAAGGTGTGTTTTTTCAAATGTCACACTTGAGTACTGCACATGTTCAAGTGTGAAATTAGCGAAATTCCGATGTAAGCGTCCTGTCCACCAACTACCCTGCTAACCCCCCCATTGTTTTTGGGTATCAAATTAACCCAGGGCACTTTAAGGTTAAAACACACATGGGCAATTAAAATGCATACTGGCTCCATCACACTGACTCATTGAAATGATTCATTTATGTGTGCCCTGTTATACTCAACGTAATCTTTTATCGTTGCAATTTTAACTTCACATTCAAGTGTAACATTTGGAGTTTGTCCAAGTCGGCCATGCATACCTATTGTACATGTATGGGTCCTCATTGCAATATCATGTTATTTCTGCACCCTTGTGGAAAATAACTATTGTCAGGCAAGTTAATTGTGTCGGTGTATTTGTGGAAATAGCAATGGAACAAAAGTCCTTACTGCAATTGCCAGCGATACAGCTGAAAATTCCATTCTCCCCAGATGGCCACAGAACACCATGCTGACGATACTGATCATGAAGATCATCATCTGGGAAATGACCTGCAGTAAGCAAAGTTTTCGGAATTAAAATGGGTTAATTTTGACGAGATCCACTAAGGCAAAAGGATCCCAACAAGGACCTACAAACAAGTTATTAACAGTCTCTGAACTTCTTTACAATACATTATTATGTATTGTAAGTATATTGATGTTTGGCTTGGGAAAACGTTTATCATAAATAAAGAGATACAACAAGTGGAATACAAGTGCAGCCATTCAAAATTGTAAATTTCCCCAGTGTGGGACAAATAAAGGATATCTTATCTTAAAAATATTTTTTTCCTAATCCAAAAACAGACTTTTCAACCTTTTGAGTACCACAACATGCATGTGGATGCACGCACGCACACACACACACACACACACACACACACGCGCACACACACACACACACACACACACACACACACAAAAAGAAAGATTTCTTCATGATTTTTGAACAGACTTGACTTGATAACTTTGAATATCATAGACTATTGAATACCACGACGGAACATGTTGCTCGCCAGCGAATCGATAAAGACATCTCGACACCAAAATTAAAGCCAAATTAAGACATGCCACCCATGACATCTTGTCATCTTACCATAGGTCCTGCGAGCTTCAAAAGGAGAATCAGCTCAGTGCGGTAGCTGGTCAGGTTGAAGCCTCCGATGCGTTCCAACCACAGGCCGAGAGAAGAGGCTTCGCTGGCCCCCACAACCTCGGGAGGTTGAACCGCGTTGTCAGTGATTTTCATGGTGGTTCGAGTTGGAGATCTTATCAAGGATAATTCGGAGCTAATCTTCGATGCAGTTGCGTCCGTCCTAGTGATGCGAGTTACTTGCTCTCGTGACTGAGTCTGTGGAAGGGGAGGGCAAGGAAAAGGGGACTCAAGGAGGGTGGCACCATCCCTCCTCCGCAAAGATAAAACCAGTGGCATGCAGTTGGGGCCTGCAAAATCTTCTTTGCTGGCCAATCAGAAGTGCTGACCTGCATTTACAGGTTACATTAAATTGTGTTCATTGATTTCCAACTCATTTCATTGCGTGTCTTGCCTGCCCAGTTTCCAGTCATCTGTATGTTTTTTTTGTCCCATCAGATTGCTTTGCAGATAATGAGGAGGAGACATCATACTTTTCTCTCATTTTCAATCAACGTGGTACTTTTAAAGTAGTGGAGATCTCTGTCCATCGCTGTGCCTTCTTTATTACGTCATGCGTCTTGTGTCCCATAGTTCAGGGCAGTGGGACAGACACCATATTCATTGCTTTTCACAGTGTATTACTCCTCCCAAATCTCGAGTGTTGTCATTCTGAAATGCCCATGTCGCAATCTCTCCTTTTGGACAGGCTCAAGTGTCTGGTATGGCCATCCCAATTGAACATATTTCATGTCAAGCGGCACTTGGTCTCCTGCCTGCAGACCGACTTGACCCTGTGTCGTATACGATGTGGTAGAAAAATATGTCAATGAATAGGTTGGCTGACAACTCCAACAAAAATTGTCTCTTCTACATTTTAGTCTCCGTGGTTGTCCTTCAGCCCCGAAGTCATGACAGACTACGTGACTGCTGACTGATGAAACGTAAAGTATATTCTGCTGTTTATATCGTGTGTCCCTGATGCAGCCTCAAGGAAAGAAAGCTTGTTGTGCAACCCCGCAGAATGTTTGGATGCTATAATCATTATAATTACAATGTGTAAAAATAACGGGAATTGGAAGAGACCTGCAACAACAACTTTGAACAGGTCACGGGCGTGCTGCAGCCTATCCAAGCCGTCTTCGGGCGGTAGGCGGGGTACACCCTGAACTGGTTGCCAGTCAATCACAGGGAACACAAAGACAACCAACCATTCACACTCATAGTCACACCTCCAGACATTTTAGAGTGTTCAATTCCCCCACTAAACATGTTTTTGGAATGTGGGAAGAAACGGGAGTACTCGGAGAAAACCCACGCAGGCACAGACGGGTAGAACATGCAAACTCCACACAGGAAGGCCGGTTTCCTCCCACATTCCAAAAACATGCATGGCAGGCTGATTGAACACTCCAAATTGTCCTTAGGTGTGAGTGTGAGTGTGCCCTGCGATTGGCTGGCAACCGGTTCAGGGTGTCCACATGACCCGAATGAAAATAAGCGGTCCAGAAAATGGATGGATATAAATCCTAGGGAATTTAAAACCTAGTCTATAAAACTTAGTGAGGCCACCAACTTCACATACATTAGGCTGCGCTGTGTTATTTGTATTGAACCACAAAAACATTGCACGATCGTCAAGAAAGAAGCCGATGGCCACAGAGAGGAGTGGGGTGATAATAAAGCAGCGAGAGGGGATATTTTGAGAGACTGTTGGCAACGATCAGTGCCTCACTCACGGACTGCACGGGTGCATTCCAGCTACAGAGATTCCAACATTTCTAGCCACAGGTACGTATGTAATTATAAATGGGTGTTATTGTAAAACAAAATATGTATATACTGTATACAATGTAGGTGGCATGATGGAAAACTGGTGAGCACATCCGCCTTACAGTGCAGAGGTACTGTGTTAGATTCACGGCTCCTCTTTTAAAAGTAATTAAGAGAAAGACCCTTTTTCATAAAATCAAGAAGTCACTCGAGTCCCCTCCAAAAGTATTGGAAAGGCAAGGTCAATTTATTGTTTTTTTTTTGCTGTCCACTAAAGGGTTTCAGATCAAAAGATGAAAATGAAACCAAAATTGCAGCTTTTATTTCTTGGTATTTCCATCTAGATGTGTTAAACAACTCAGGACAGAGCACCTTTTGTTTGAACCAACCCACATTTCTGTCATGATGCGATTCTGTTTGTTGTCTAGCAGGTGGCATTGGTGGGCGGCGCTCTTCCTTTCTGCACCTGTTGCCTATCATGTCGTCACCCTTGCCTGTTAGAAGGGACTGATTAAGCATCGCCGGTTGTCGGAATATTCCCCCTTGCTCTCGTTTTCAGAGTTATTGCGCAAACACTGGTCATAGCTAAGACATCCATCCATCAATTTACTTTGGAACGTTCTAAAAAAGAAAGAATTTAGCGGAAGGTCTTAGGCCATGTTTTGCAAAACGGAGATATTCTTCTGCAGTTTGCCTCATCAGCTACACGTCCCCGGAGAATTTTTTTCATTAAAAGCCAAAATTTCTAAAAACTCTTGCCAAAGTGGGGATTTGCGGATATCTCGGAGTCCGCGTTTGGCTATGGACAATCGTAACTAGAGATTTCTGTATTTTAGGCCCATCAGCCAGTCCCTCATTTTCAGTCCGTCACTCTGTCATAAAGCTTCGGCACGGACCACACGTGTGTCCCTGCACCACAACCTGTTTTTATGATGTCTGTTTTCTTTTTGTCCGGCCTCACCGACAAGCATATTCTTCGTGTAGCACGAGTGCGTGACACGTGCGTTCCTAGCTCCACACTCAGTATCCACGTGACATTGCAGAAAAGTAGCTTTAACATTTCTAGATAATCATTAGTCATTAGGAAAGTTAGTAAGTTCCACCCTTCTTCCTGCACACCAGCTTCAGATTCATGTCACAGGGAAATGCGTCCTGTGTGCATAAATGAGCTTAGAGAAGAGAAAGAGTGAGACATAGAGAAACACCAGGAATATATTGTGTTTCAGAACATATTTGCTTTCTAACCTCTTTAAATATGTATGTATTTATATACAGGTATATGGTGGTGTCGCCATGATGTGGAATAAAAAGTATGGCCAATTTGTTATAAGTTTGGGAGTTGATTAGACCATTGAGATTGAGCTGAGCTATAATGATAAGAAAATAAGAACTTTGACTGTCTGTCCGCCATCTAAGTGCACTCGCAATGAGGATGAGTACCTCAATAGGCTTGTTTTTTTTTTGTATATTTTTTTTTCCACGATAATCCTTCTACCTGCATCTGTGTTATTATTATGAATGCTGGTAGCAACTCTCTATTTGGGAATCATTTAATTAAGTTTTGTACAGACAGTGGATTGATTTTGTCCATCAAAGTGCGATTGCCAAAAGATAGTTCTACTTACATTAGGGAGGCCTGGCACTCACCTTCCTGGCTGGACCACTGCCACTATACGGAAGATGCCCAAAACACCATCGATATGATGAAAATTGATTATGATTTAGCTTTTACAGACCATATAGCCTTTCACATGGTGTTAAATACACGGAAATTTACCAGTGCTGTTGCCTGTGGATAATGGCACTGGAGTGGGGAAAAAAAGGTTGGTCCAAGTTATCCAAGAATGACCTTAAATAATTATATCAATCATTCTGATGCCTTGCTGATAAATATTAAGGTCCCAGGAGATGCTTTAGCGTGCCGATAATGAATTGTAGAAATCTACAACCCTGCAAGGGAATCATCGACGGCCAAAATGCAAATCCTCCTATCTGACAGACATGTCAAAACCCTGCCTCAGTTTTTTGAGCCACAGGTGCTTCTTGTTTACCTGCCGGCTGGCCTACAGCAGTTTCTCAAAATATTTGCACATAATGGTGATTTATACAACGCTTAAAAAAAAAAGTCCGATCATGACAGTCAAAAGTAGAGAAAACAGACTTTCAACTTTTCATAACTTTTCATTTGGTTTCAACACACTCTGCGAGCTATGAAATGACATATTCGGGCCATATTATTGCAAGTGACCCGTATGCTTTAGTAAAGGCCTGGAAAAGCCTTTCCAATGAAGAGAACAACGGTCTGGTCAAGTCAATGGGTTGCAGGCTGAAGACGGAATTTCCACCACACTACTTGACCAATAATCAAATACCTTGGTGGAGTTCTGGGATGCTCGTTGATGGGCTCAGGAATGACCACATGCACACGTCTATCGAGTCAGTAACACAGAAAAGTATTTAATCCCTAACAAATACTCTAATACAGCATAGATCAAGCCAATTATTCTAAACAGAGCTCTGGGTCATCAACTTCTCCTTACCGCGAGGGTAGAGAGGCAGTGACCAGACGCCTTTCCCTTGATCCACCTTTCATACAATTCCCCAAAAAGGGTGTGTCTCTCTTTGTGTGTGTGTGTGTGTGTGTGTGTGTGTGCGTGTGTGTGTGCGTGTGTGTGTGTGTGTGTGTTCAGGCATTGACAAGTGGTCTGCGAGGACAGTCCAGGTGTTATCAACAGCATCTGTCAGATTAGGTGTGAATTGTCCTTCAATCTAATCTTCCTTTGATGTGGATATGGTCGTTCACATTTGGACATCTTTTGTTGTTGGAAGTGACCGTCCTGCTGTGGGGGCCTTTTTCAGTGCCGATTGTGATCTCCAGTCCAGGGGTTCGGCCGGCGTTCCCCCTTGCTCGTGGCACCATGGCACCCCCTCTTCCTCAATTACACCCAAATGCAAACAGTCTTTCATTTACACTCAGGAAAAAACATCACTATTTGCAGTCACTCATTCCAAAATTTCATGCGAATCAACCATGAAAGGCCACACTGAAACAAAAGCAAGTATTTTGTCACTGTATGAAAAACCGCAATACAGCAATATGAAAGCCAATACTGTGAATGAAAATCCCTTCAAGGCTTGATGCAATTATTGCAAGTAAGGGTTATGCCACCAAATATTTAATGAGATTAACTTGAACTTCATTTAATAATGTCTGTTTCAATAATTTTGCTCACTTGAAAAGTGGGTGGCTTCAAACAAACAAAATCAACTCTGTCCAGAGTTGTTTAACGCATCTAGATGTAAATACCATGAAATAAAAGGTGGAATTCTGAACTTTTGTCTCA